GTTCTGTGCATGCACCTGCAAGCCGCTCTGTGCATGCACCTGCAAGCTGCTCTGTGCATGCACCTGTGAGCTGTTCTGTGCATGCACCTGTGAGTTGTTCTTTGCATGCACCTGTGAGCTCCCCGTGCATGCACCTGCGAGCTATTCTGTGCATGCACCTGCGAGCTGTTCTGTGCATGCACCTGCAAGCCGCTCTGTGCATGCACCTGCAAGCCGCTCTGTGCATGCACCTGCGAGCTGTTCTTTGCATGCCCCTGCGAGCTGTTCTGTGCATGCACCTGTGAGCTGTTCTGTGCATTCACCTGCGAGTTCCCCGTGCATGCACCTGCAAGCTCCCTTTTGCATGCACGTTCAGTCTCCCCGCTTCTCACCTGCACGTGCCCCTTCACGAGCTCCCCTTTGCAGAGCTGCAAACGCCCCGGTGCACCCTCACCCGTGCCCCTTCACGTGCACCTGCGAGGCGCCCTTTGCACAGCGACRCGTTTCATTTGCACCCTTGTGCATTGCCGTGGTGTGCGCCTGCCAGCCCCCGTGCGCACACGCGCGTGCCCTCCGTCGCACGCACACCTCAGCCTGCTCTCCGACGCGCTCCGTGCCCCCAGGTACGGCAAACGCGGCAGCCCCGYGGCGCCGGAGCTGCCCCTGGGCACCGGCAGCGACCAGCCTGGCAGGTCACGGTGAGTGTCCCCGTCCGTCCGTCCGTCCGTCTGTCCGTGCGGGGGGACGGGGCTGCGGGTGCCGGTGAGGTCTCGTCCCCCCCATTCTCACCGTGTCTCTTCCCGCAGGTTCGACGCCGCCGCCGCCGCGTGGTGACCGTCCCCTGTCCCCCATTGCTCCCCGGCGCCCCCCGCAATCTGGAGGGGCCACATGGGGGTCCCGCTGGCAGCTCGGGCCCCGCGCCGGGCGTCCAGCCCGGGGGTCCCGGCGTCCCCGTCCCCTCTCAGCTCCCGCGCGCTCGGGCAATAAAGAGCAACGTCGTGGGCAGCCGCGTGGGCTCTGTGTGCGCTGCGGGGGGGCTGCTGCGCGCGGGCGGTGGGCGCTGGGTGCGTTTGGGTGCTGGGGTGCACTGGGGAGGGGGCACATCGGTGGTGGGTGCTGGGCGTACTGGTTTCAGGGTGTGCTCGGTGCTGGGGACACTAGTTTGGGGGTGCTCGAGTGCTGGGTAAGGGGGTAAACTGGGTGTGGGGTGCCCTGGGACACTAGGGTGCGGGATGAGGGTGCTGGGTGCACTGGGTGCTGGGCCACATTGGRAGTGGGGTGCAGTGGTGGGGAGTGCTGGGCATACTGGGGGAAGGGGTGCACTGGGTGCACGGGGTGCAGGATGCACTGGGGGTGGGCAGGAGGTCCTCTGGGTGCATTTGTGGGGTGCATTGGAGATGTGGGTGCTCTGGGTGCAGGGTGCACTGCGGAGTGCTGGGGGGCCCTGGCAGTGGGTGCTARGGGCGTTAGGCACAGGATGCACAGGTATCGGGTGCTGGGTGCACTGGTGGAGAACAGGAGGTGTGCTGGGTGCATTGGGTGGGGGTGCAGCCTGCACTGGGTGCATTAGGTGTTGGGATGCAGGGTGCATTGGGGATCGGGGTGCACTGGGTGTTGAAATGTAGGGTGCACTGGATGCAGGGATGGGAGTGCACTAGTTTCTGGATGCATTTGTTGAGGGGTTCAGCGTGCACTGGGTGCTGGGTGCATTAGGTGTTGGGATGCACGGTGCACTGGGGATTGGGGTGCACTGGGTATTGGGGTGCAGGATGCCCTGGGGATGGGGGTGCATCAGTTTCTGAGTGCATTTGGTGAGGGGTGCCGCATGCACTGGGTGCTGAGTGCATTGTGCTGGGATGAAGGGTACATTGCAGATGGGGGTGCACTGGGTATTGGGGTGCAGGGTGCACTGGAGATGGGGGTGCACTGGGTATTGGGGTGCAGGGTGCACTGGATGCAGGGTGCACTGGGTATTGGGGTGCAGGGTGCACTGGATGCAGGGTGCCCTGGGGATGGGGGTGCCCCATGGATGGGGGTGCACCAGTTTCTGGGTGCATGTGGCGGGGGTGCGGGGTGCATTGGGTACCCGCGTGCTCTGTGGGGCCCCATCAGTGGCTCTGTGCACCTGGGGGGGCAGCAGGCGACACCCCCTGCTTGCAGGGCCCCCGAGGCTGTTGGGGGCGGCTGCACCCGGCAGTGCCGAACCCGTCTGTCCCATCGGTGCCCCCCAGCCCCAGGGCCCCCCATTGCCCCCCAGCACAGCTGGGCAGCCTGGGCCTGGGGGCTGCGCCAGCCCCCCCACCATCCCCTCGTCATCCGGCCACCCACCCGTGTGTCCACGCGACCTCCCTGCTGTCCGGCCACCTGCCCCTCTATCCCAGTGTGTCCCCGCTTCCCTCCACCTCCCCGGGCACCCACCCGTCTCCCCAGGGACGCCTCTCCCTTGCCCAGCACCCCTCCTCTGCGTCCCCCGTCTCTCCATCCATCCCTCCATCCATCCCTCCATCCCTGTCTCTGATCCAACCAGCCACTTTACTATCCCTCCCTTCCTTACCCCTGCACCCATCCGTCCCTCCATTCCTGACTCAATTGTCCCTCCATCCATCCATCCCTCCATCTGACCCTCCCTCAATCCCTCCATCCCTACTTCCATCCCTACTTCCATCCATCCATCCCTCCATCCATCCATCCATCCATCCCTCCATCCATCCCTCCATCCACCCATCCACCCACCCCTCCCTATCCCTCCATCTCTCCCTCCATGCCCACCCCAGCTCCTGCCCAGCCGCGCTCCCAGGGTGACAGCGGGACTCCCTGTCCCCGCCGCACGGCCACGTCCTCGTCCCRGCCAGGGCCCCATCCCGGGGGTCCGGCAGGGCTCAAACATTAACCAGAGCCGGGGGGGGCACCTGGGGCCGGGTGACATCAGCGGGGGCCTCGGGGGGGGCTGCGCAGGGGGTATAAAGGCTGGTGGCAGCGGGTGCCCCGGCAGCCGGTGCCAGGGGTCCCGCGTGCCGCTTGTCCCCGTGCCACGTCCTGCAGAACGAGGTGAGTGGTGCCGCGCTCGGACCCTGCCCGCTGGGGAGGCGGTGGGGAGAAAACAGGATGGATTGGGGGGGTGTGTGCAGGGGGGTAGTGAGTGGGTGAAACGGGGGTGCACAAGGGCAGCGTGAGTGTGCAAGTGTGACATGCAGCTGGGTGCATGCATGCAGGTGTGCACTGTGGCATGTGTGAGTGCATGCATGTGCACACACATGTGTTTCCAAGTGCACATGCATGTGTTTCMAAGTGCACATGCATGTATTTGCAAGAGCACATGTATGTATTTGTAAGTGCACACACATGTGTTTGCAAGTGCACATGCATGTGTTTGCAAGTGCACATGTATGTATTTGCAAGAGCACATGTATGTGTTTGCAAGTGCACATGCATGTGTTTGCAAGTGCACAGGCATGTGTTTGCAAGTGCACATGTATGTATTTGCAAGTGCACATGCATGTGTTTGCACATCCATGTGTTTCCAAGTGCACACGTATGTGTTTGCAAGAGCACATGCATGTGTTTGCAAGCGCGCACGCATGTGTTCGCAAGTGCACGTATTTGTGCATGCTCGCACGTGTGCGCCCGGCCTCAGGGGTGCTGCCCGCCGCAGGCCATGGCTCCCCGCGGCCGCTGGTGCTCCCTGCTCCTCCTCGCCTGCTGCCTGGCGCTGCTGGCCRCGCAGCCGGGCGCCGCGGGGCCGCTGCAGCCCACCTACCCCGGCGACGACGCCCCCGTGGAGGAGCTGCTGCGCTTCTACAACGACCTGCAGCAGTACCTCAACGTGGTCACGCGGCACCGGTGAGGCGCGCTCCCCGCCGCGTGCATCCCCGCTGCAAAACCTTCCCTCGCTCAGTGTGCTGCCCCAGCGCATTGCGTTTGCAGTTGCATTTTGCCACCCTGTTCCGCTCTCTTCCCCAGSTGCGACGTGCTCCCTGCTGCACCGTGCTCTCCTGCTTTGATGCCCTCTCTGCAAGAAGGGATCTTCCYGTCTTGCAATGTGCTCTCTCCCATTGCCTCATGCTCCCTGGCTCGGTGCGCTCCCCGTTGCAAGGCACTCCCCACTGCATTGTGCTCCCTGTCCCAAT